CTGGAACAAATTGCCTAGGGAGGTTGTGGAATCTCCATCTCTGGAGATATTTAAGAGTAGGTTAGATAAATGTCTATCAGGGATGGTCTAGACAGTATTTGGTCCTGCCATGCGGGCAGGGGACTGGACTCGATGACCTCTCGAGGTCCCTTCCAGTCCTATAATCTATGAATCTAGGATCATCTTCATTTTAAGATGGGAGAACTGAGGTACAGAAAGGTTAAGCAACTTTCTCAAGGATGTGAGAGAGCCAAGAGTAGTACCCAGATTTATAGAACCATAAATTGTAACAAAGAAAATAGTGTTTTCCTTTCTCTTTTTTTTTAACTGAATGCAATTCCCTAGGAAGTGCTGCTTAAGTGTGAGGCAGGCCCCATTGTAGGTATAACTGATCAGTTGAGGGACTAGGGCATGTATCTCAGTGATTCTCCAGAGACTGTGCTTTTGTTCAAAAAAGAATTAAGGGCCAGATTTTTAAAGGTATTTAGGTGTCTAAAGATACAGATAGGCACCCAGTGGGGATTTTCAGAAGTGCCTGTCTGCATGCATTCGTAGGCACCTAAATACCTTTAAAAATCTGCCTTAATCTCTAGTTGCTGTGGAGAAAACCTTGAAAGTGTCATCTAAGTGTAACCAATGGCAGTGATGACTGCCTGAGTTTGCAGAGAGCCTGAAACATTAAATCTGAGGTGTATGCTGCCCCATTCACTTCAATGGGTACTACAGATTCAGATGCCAAAGATGAGACTTAAATGTTAACATTATTTACTGTTTCAGTGTTTACCAAAGCATGTAAGAAAGGAGAGGAAGATTATGAAAATCTGCACAGCCTGCTCTGGGTCACAGTTGTCACAACAGACCACTTATTTTGGGTGGACCTTGGTTAGGTTAATGGGGAGAGGTGATTTCATTTTCCCTAAGGGAGGCTGTTTTCATAAGTCAGGGAAATGCTGCTCTAAAGTTTAATTGTCATAGATGTTGGTGTAATTTTCATCTACATTGATTGATACAGATAAGCTGTTGGAGGTGCAAATGGAGCTAACAATAAACAGTCGATTTTAATGCTGTACATGTCTAGATTGTGTATCTTGTCCATTCATATTCCTATACTTGTACATTAAATCCTACCTATACGTACAGTGCCTTAGTTTGGTCACTCCTCGGACGTCTTGATTTTGACCTGTATCTCACTGCCTTTTGCTCTAGATTTCATACTGCAAGTCCATTGGATCCTGAGCCAGACCCCTTTTTCAAAGGTTATTATTTCATGGTGCCCCCTGGTTCAATCCCTGCTTCATTTCGCTCTATTTTGCAGTGGATCCTTCACCACAATTTGATGTACCATGTACTGACTCCTGGAAGACACCTTCATCCCATGCCTCATGTCCTAGTGCAGCATAAGCCTTGTCCTGTTTTAAGGCTTTGCATCACAGAATCTGTCTTAACCCAGCCTCCTGGTTTTCTTCAGAACTGCCCTATCCTTCAGCTAAGTCAGACTTTCCCTCACACACTCAGAGGCTGATTCATTCTCTCATGCAATCTCTGACATCATCCCACTGCAGTAGCGTATCCTCTCTATGTTGGCTAGTCAGTGGCTTTCAGAAATGGTTGGCTATATCCTCCTGAAGTGTGGAACCACTTGTCTGTGCCATTTCTAATATCCCCTTTCTCCCCACAACCCCCTTTCCCCCCAAAAAAAAACTTTTGGAAAGGCTCCACAGCACCACTCTCCCTTTTCTTGACTTCTAGAAAATCTCTTGGACACAGTTTTAATTAAATTAGTTAAGATTCTTTTTTAATTACATTCAAGAGCTCTGTGATACTGGTGACTCATGAAAAGCACAGGCTTATTGATGCTGAATATGTATCCAGAAAGCACACATGATTTTTCAAGAGGCTGTTTTTCAAGTAGCACAGATACATTTTTGTTTCCATAACATTTATGCTTTGTGATATGTTTCTGTCCTTCTGTTCTCTTTCTTTTTGCCTTTGGCTCTTTTCCTCTCTTATACAATGTGTATTTTCTCAAGTGGATCTAGAATAACACTTTGATTATGCTGACAAGAACAGCAACACCTCTGTAGATTGTCCTACAGCAAAGGCATGACAGAATAAATGATTATAAATAAATTCTCATTCTATGGTTTCTGCGTATGCAGTGCATCACTTCCTCTCTCCACAGGGCAAATTCTCTGGCAAACAGCTTCCTCACATGGCATGTCAAGATCTGAAACAGATGCTGACATGACAGGTGCAGTTGTTCTCTTGCCTGCTAGAACCTAGAAGTTGAACCCAGGTTCCAAGAGTATGGAAATCTCTCTGTGCAAGCCACCAAGGATTAAGAGACAGTGTGTTGCCTGTGCTTCATAATATACACTATAAGAGATACTCCTACTGAGCCATTACATAGCACTTTATTCTATATCTTCAAAGTGCTGTACTGAAAAGCCAGTGCACGCTACTAATTCCCCGTAGAGATAAATACAGTTTTTTAGTTGTAGAATATGGACAGGATGGGTAGCTTTGAAGTAATAGCACTTAGTGGCTTGGTACCTCATTTCCCCATCTGTAAGATGGGGGTAACAATGCTACCTTTCTGTCCCCTTCGTATTGTCCATTTAGACAGTAAGCTCTTTGAGTCAGGGACTGTCTTTTACTGTGTGTATGTACAGACCTAGTGCAATAGGGCCTCAATTTCAGTTGGGGCTTTCAGGTACTGTAAGATGAAAAAATTATATTAATAGTTAATATGATGCATGCTGAACTTTACTGATCAGTCACATGGCTTTTTCTTGCATCCCATTCCCCTCTTTCCATGTGTCCATTGTTTCACTAGACTTTAAGTTCTTTGGGGCAGAGACAGGTCTTCCTACAGGCCTGGTCTACACTGGGGAGGGGTGGGTCGATCTAAGTTACACAATTTCAGCTACGTGAATAACGTAGCTGAAGTTGACGTACTTAGATCTTCGCTACGGTGAATCGACTGCTGCTGCTCCCCCGTTAACTCTGCCTGCGCCTCTCGCAAGCTGGAGTATAGGAGTCAACAGGAAAGCACTCAGTGATCGATTTATCGCGTCTAGACTACATGCGATAAATCAATTCCCACTGGATTGATCACTGCCCACCGATCCGGCCGGTAGTGAAGACATACGTGCCCTATCTCTTCTATATGTCCCTTTATATGTCTGCAAAGGGTTATCTCTTAGTGCTCATAGTATGGTTGATACTATATGTATTTTAAATGTACCAGTTACTGTATTGTAGCAGTTTCTTGGTATATCATTTTTAAGCACTGACAAGTGTGTTCAGTGCTATGCAGCAGCCAAATGAAGATAAAGTCTCCACCCACGGAGCTAACAATCTACAGGACAAAGATAGATCAGGTAGAAACATAGTGGGAGACAACACAGAGAATGGATATAACATATAATAGGGTTTGTTTTTAAATTTGTGGGTATTATGGAAAAATGGAGTTTCCAAAGGGGTTAGAATTAAAAGAACTTTTTAATAGTGTGTGTGTGTGTGTGTGTGTGTGTGTGTGTTAAATAAATAACAATGAAAGCATACTAAACAGAGTAGTAATTATTTGCTTTTTCATCATTTCCAGCTTCACTGTTACAAAAATGTGAATAATTATGCAGTTATTTAATACCTCATCTTTCTTTTTAAAGTATATTTCTAAATCACCTGTCTAAATATTAATGTTTAACCTAAAATCTGTTACAGAATATCCCTCAATCTGCAGCATTTTGACTGTTTTAGTAAGAACAGGAATTAAACTGCTCCCATGTTATCAACTTAAAATTAAATTCGTAAACACTTTGGGCTCCATTATCCATTCTGTTACCAGTTTTACGTCACTGTAACTCCACAAAGGAGTTATACTCATATAAAGCTGGTATAATGGAGGGGAAAGCCAAGCCCTTTAAAATTAAAGTTTCAATAAATCATGTGGAATAATAAATCCTAGTGTTCAAGGTCTACCTGTTATAACTTCACATCAGAATAGAGATGGAGAGCTGCACCAGACGTTGATTGATGTCACAGATCTCAGTGCTTGTGAATTTTTGACATTTCCGTATTGATTGCTACCACAGCTTTAGGCATTAGAGTTTATTAAACCAACCATTTCTTGGCTGTTACATTTCAGGTGGGATTCCATTCGTCTTGACTGGAGAGTTTTTTCAGCAGTCTCAAAAGCCTGCCGCATTTGTGATAGCTGGGACAGTCAACTGGCTCTCCAACTTCTCAGTGGGACTTCTTTTCCCTTTTATTCAGGTACACACCATGCACAATTAACTGTATGATAACTGAATTAATAGTTTATCATTGGGTCATTGTGAAACTTTCTTTGTTGTGAAGTGGAATGAAACCTGCACCTCCTTTTGATGCATTTCGGTGTGTCAGTTGTAAATGTATGTTCTGCTGAAGCTCCACTTAACGGAAAATGAGGAGGAAAATATTTATTATATTGTGGGCTTATGAACAATAGCTTATTTCTGGTGGGGAAGGTGGGTGTGATGGGATCCCCCCAGGGTGCAGCCTGGGACCAGGATGCTGCCTGGGACTGTGCACCCTGAAGTCTCCCCAGCCTGGGCTGTCTCTCACAATGCCTTGCTAGTCACCAACAGCAACCCTTCCAGGCGCTGTGATCACTCAGCACAACCACATGTGGAGCCCCCACACCCAGCTGGATTGCGTGAATGCTCCCAGAGCCACTCACGAATCACACAGAGAAAGGCACCAGAGCCAAATCCCCCCAGCTCCCAGCACTGTACCCCAGGAATATACCGTCTTGCACAGCTCAAGATGGGCAGTGCGAATTTATTAATTGGTTCACCGCTTCAACAATGGAAAGTGGATATACACCAGCCTTTGTCAAACCAGATTTGCACCACACTTCATACAAACTCACTGGTAAAGATAAACAATTAAACAAATGTATTGACTATGAAAGGCAGATTTTAAGTGATAGGTAAAAAGTCAGAGTCAGTTACCAAAAGAAATAAAATATAATCACGCAGTCTAAACTCTCAACCCTATTAAACTGGGCAGCAACTAGATTAAGCAGTTTTTCTCACCCCACTGGATATTGCAGTCCGTAATATACAGGTTTGTTCCTTAAACCTGGGCCAATCTCTTGTGTTGGAATCTTATCTTCTTCTCAGTGTTTTGGTTGCTTGCAGCATACTTGGGTGCAGGAGAAGAGCCCAGTAGTATGTGTCTACTTTGTCTGTTTTATACCCTCAGTCCATGTGCTTGGGGAGCACAAGTCCAGGCATGTCTGGGAGACATTGCTGAGGGCTTGTCTACACTGGCAATTTACAGCACTGCAACTTTCTCGCTCGGGGGGGTGAAAAAACACCCCCGTGAGCACAGCAAGTTTCAGCGCGGTAAAGTGCCAGTATAGAGAGTGCACCAGCGCTGGGAGCCACGCCCCTCCAGGGGTGGTTTTTTTAGAGCGCTGCGACCACACAAGGCACATTAAAGCACTGCTGCGGCAGTACTTTAATGTTGCCAGTGTAGACTAGCCCTGAGTCTCTCCAAGCAAGGTTGAGCAATTCCCCTGGTGTGGCCTCATGCAGGTGAGTCATTGCTTTGTAGCTCCCTTGCTGGACAATGGCTGTCGATGGGTTGTTTGACACCCCACCCGGGCATTGGCTACTTCCCTTGCTGTTGCCTCTGGGGAGCTAATATCTGGCTTACAGCATGTTTTAGTGACCACCATACAACACAATTCTCATAACTTCATATGCATTAATGATACACATGTATGGATAGAGAAATGACTTTCAGCAGATCATAACCTTTCCCCTGATACCTTACAAGGCATGCTTTATATGTAAGATTATGATTATATGAAAATGAGGAATTTGGGGTTACAGTATGCTCCCCCAAGGTATATAATGTCACAGTGGGGACTTAGAGAAGGAGAGTTTTATGCTCCCAAAAAATGAATGATGACCTTCAAAGAAATTATGAACATGGATGATAAATGGGGACTTGAGGTTTGATTCAGTACCCATTGAAGTCAATACCAAGACTCCCATTCACTTCAGTCAAATGGGATTTTGGATAGAATCATAGAAATGTAGAACTGTAGGGCTCAAAGGGACTTCAATACTAAGTATATCTAGAAGACCATCCCTGACAGGTGTTTGTTTAACCTGTTCTTAAAAATCTCCATTGACGAGGATTCCACAACCTCGCTTGGAAACCTATTCCATAATTTAACTATCCTTACAGTTCTTTTCCTAGTGTCTAATCTAAATCTCCCTTGCTGCAGATTAAGCCCATTACTACTTTTCCTACCTTCAGTGAACATGGAGAACAGGTGATCACCGTCCTCTGTATAACTACCCTTATGATACTGGAAGACTTATAAAGTCCCTCCTCAGTCTTCTTTTCTCAAGACTAATCATACCAGGTTTTCTTAACCTTTCTTCATAAGTCAGGCTTTCTAAACCTTTTATCATTTTTGGTGCTCTCCTCTGGACTCTCTCCAGTTTGTTTACATCAAACCTTTTGTCTGCTTTGTCAGCCATATACTTATTGCAGTGCTACATGTGTAGCAAGGTCTCTCCAAACATGGCAAAGGACCCTGTTTCTGTTTCCCTACTTTCAGGCAAGCTGGTGGGCCAGTTCACTGGACAGTGCATCAGTGAATCTACCACCAATGACAATATTTCTGTCCCTTTCCCCAGGGATGCCTTTGTTGTTCAAACACGGCTAAATGTTGGTCAAAAGAGGTAAACCAGGTCTTGGCCCTCCTAATGCCTTTGTCTCTGAGGTCTTTTGCTGCTGCCTATCTAGCAGGTATCCCCAGCCAGGCCTTTCATCTGGCTGGTGTGGCAAGCCCTCCTTATCAGGTTATTTCCTGAGTCTCCTGCATGAGCATCCCTTCTCCCTGTAAATTAGCTGCTTGTTGACCTTTTATCTCACCAGCTGGGATGCAACTAGTTAATCACAGGTGGGGACTAAACCCAGCTTCCTTAAAGGGTCATCCCTCCCTGTGATAACATGATAAAAGCGGGATTCACAATTACAAAGCCAAAGTAGTGACACCATAATTGCCTGTTACCATTTTAAGTGGACACAAACAGAAAATGTTTTAGGGAAAAGAAAGCAGAAGTTTTTCACATCTAATTGTTGTCCAGAGGAGAATTGTTCTGGAAAGTCTGAGGCTAATTGGACAAGTCCTTTCTGGGTAATGAGATTTAGAATAAGTGGTGGGGTTTTTTAATTTCTGAAAATTGCTTTTTGTGTCTACTTATAACTGAAAAAATACTTGATGTAAAATGTGTACTGTTTCTGCTAGACATTTATTCTCAGTGAGAGTAGCATATAGGACATCTTTTACCAAGTAGCACCAGTTACATTTCTTTGCATGAATTTTAATTTATGTGAGAGATCTGGAAACTGTTATAAACATTGACCCAGCTAATTAAATCTTGCATTTAAAAGGAGTGGGGGAGGTCTTTAGCCTTTTGATTACTATTAACACCTTTGAAATGTAAACTGAATACAAAGATCCCAGTCCTTTGAACCTTTTCTACTCCTTAGAGGTGAGTGAATAACTGATGTTTTGGTTTTGGGGCTAAACTGAAAAATCCAAAAAAACCAAATCTAAACTGGTTTTTCTCACCAAAACCAAAAAATCGGGGGGAAAATCATCTTGGTTGAATGAAGACATTTTAAAAATGAAATGTTGACTCAAAATGACATTTTCTAAATGAAACCGATCGATTTGAAACTAAATGTCAAAATGGCTCATTTTGAAAATGTTGAAATGAACTGTTTTGACTTGTTTTTTAAAACAACTTCCTCATATTTTCGTTGGCCAAAACTTCATTTTTTGGTAAATTTATCATTCACCAAAAAATTTTGCCCAGCTCACTGTTGCCATTGACTTCAGTTAGACTGCTCACAGTAATAAGCCCTAAGAGTCTGATCCAATCCTCAGTGAAATCAGTGGGAGTCTTTTCATCGGCTTCACTTGGTGTTGGGTCAACCCGTAAAGAGTAAGGATTTGCAAAAAGTACTTTGTGCTTCCTAACTCTGCTCCCGTTGAAGTAACTAGAACTCCCATTTTCTTCAGTGGAATTAGGCTAATGCTTTGTGATTTTGAAAATCCAACCATAATTGTGTACATTTGTCAGGGCAATTTTCTCCTAAAAATCGCACTTTTTTCAGATTTTTCTTGTAGGGATATTCAAGGTGCCCTGTGTTTGTACCCTCATTTCTGCTTCTTGAGGTCTCACTTGGAGACTGCCCTTCTGGCAGCCAGATCTGAATTGTGTAGCTCAGGCACATCTCTCATTTAATGTAGTCCATGATCATTTTTGCTAGATTGTATTATATGTATCCTGTGTTTCTGCTAACCCCTCATCATAGGTCATGCCCTGAGTGTTAATTGTTTAAAAAGGCACTATGTAGATCTCAGCAGCTAAAAAGTGATTGAAATTCTTTGGTTTTTCATCTATATACTAACATTTTTCTAGCGATTTCATGTTGTGCTGGGAAATACATAATTTAGCTTAATGAAAAATTCTACTTTTTCATGACAAAAATACATCTTAGTTATACTGAAGGCAACATATACTGCTGTTTTTGTCGGTTTGTTTTTGTTGATAGAGCTTCCTTACAATTTGAAATCAGATGTATGTACATGAAAACAGAGTTACTTGGGTTTTAATTTTCTTCTAAGATTATTCATGAAATTGACCAGTAATGCCTTTCTCATTCACAAAGGTAGAGAGAATAAGTCAGGAATTTAAGAATGGTCTTCCTTAACTTTCTCTTTGTCCAGCTCCTTCAGTCAGCTTTGTTCTCTGAATTACAGCATCTACCCATACTTCATTACAGAGTCAATAGCCTCATAGTCATTTCCTGGTTAAGGGTGTTTTAATTTTGTTCTTATAGCATGACTTAAAAAAACCTTATCAATGCTTGAAACATCTTAACAAAATGAATAATCCATTCAATCTGTTTAAATTTTAGTATGATTGCTCCATGCATTTTTTCAATCATTTGTTTTATAAAGCAACAAGAAGAGGCAGTTATTTATACATATTTTATACTATTCACAACAGTTTTATGTTAAAAATTTTTTGGAGAAAATGTGTAAAATATTCATAGCTATTGAAAATTAATTGGCAGTCAATTCTCCAAAATGTCACCTAATAATTAGTTTGAATATCAAAATTTCCCCCATCAATCCCTGTAGTTACATTTAGTAAAGTAAGATAGCTACTTGCCTGACCCATGCACTAAAACGT